GAGAGAGAGAGAGATTTCTAAAGTTTCGTTTATCGATTTAATATTTTTCGCGTTTCGTATTACTCAGAAAAAATATTATCCGACACTTTATTCTCGCTTCTGCTCTCTCCGTTGACCTTTTTTTATTCTTTGTCCTCAAAGGCACCTCGGAAAACGAAAATCGCTAAATGGATGATTTTATTGCATGTTGTCGTCGTGATGTTTCCTATTGATGATACTATTTTATTCTACTGTTTTTATCGAATGATTATTAAATTAAGATAAATTTTATCAAATGTAATTGCCAGAGCAGAAAGTAAAGTAATTAAATAGATTAATGATTTATACAAAGATAGCTATAAATCGATATGTGAGAATAGTTCATCGATTTAGCCTCGATGAAATTTTCAGCGCAACCAATGTAAGGCGATCTATGGCGTCTATGTCCAGCTTCACATTGGCGTTTTCAATCAATCGAAACGATTTGCATTTGCAAATTGCATAGAATCAGCATACAATCAATTGGCAGTAGCATTCAGCATAGCTTATACCTTCAACATTCGTATTAAATAATTTATGTTTCACGCTACACCAATGTGAGGAATAGTAAACCTATTGTAACCGTCGAGGAAAGCTGGGTCCATCGGGATAAAAAAATTGACGTTGACGTTGAAAATTATACGTGCAGAAGTCTACTTAACTAAAATGGAGCAAACATTGTTATAGGTGGCAAGTTCGTCATTAACTGCCATATCGTAATTAAGGTCTCAGGTGATTGATCATTCCTGTTGAACACGAGTATTCTAGAAAATATCGAAGATAATCTTCAAGGAAGAAAGAGGACTCATCAAATGTGACAACGCAGGCGAGAAAAAAGAGACGACAATGAAGCCAACTACGAAGAGAGAAGATTGAACTTAACTGGGGTCAAATTGACTCTAGTAGGGAGTCCCTGCATTCAATATGGCGACTTCCTAATAGAGTCAGGCTGACTCCTTTTAAGACGTTCACCAGATAAGAACTCATCTTGCAGAAGTATCCGAGAGCGTGTGTTTTAGAAATGAATTTACGATTATTTAATTTACAAAGCATTAATTAATTTGTTGAGACTGGGATGAGAGCGATCTGCATGTATTGGTTTATGGAAAATAGCGCGAACATTGGAAGCTCTTAATTGATTAAATGATCGATCGAGTCTGCTACGCGATGTAAATTATATCAGCTTATTTTAGAAATGTTAAATTTTGGAATTATATGTCGTCTGTACGATTAAAAATTAGTTTTCTTAATATCTTGTATAGACCTGTATTTATCAATCAAGTTTTCAATCAAGTATTCATAAAAGATGGAAGATGTGATTAATATAAATGCAGATTTTCAAGAAAAAGATTTCTAGTGCAATATGATATGTCTTTTGAAGCCTACTATAACTCTGAATCCCGACAGGAATCTCAAATTTCAATTTTATCATCGTGGTAATATGGCACCGTATCAGATCTTCTGTCTATTTATAGCACCGACAAAATTTACGATGCGTATAAGAAATATTGAATATTATAATTTTTCCTTTTGCTTCTGCAAATTAATAATGCACGATGATATAATGATGATAATAATGATGAATGAATAATGAGAAAGAGGAAGACAGTGATAAAAAAAAAGTTAGATATATACGTTATATATTGTTGATTAAATCTTGGAAATGTTGGTAAAACATTAAATTTTTCAAAATTTGCTATCGAGGTATTTATTCTCTAAAATATTATCTGTATTTAATGTAGATCATTTTGTAATTAAAATACTATCTATTTATTATAGATTGTTTTGTTTGTAATAATTAGTAATAAGAAAAAAATAGTATTACATGAATAGTTACATAACAATGCAGAATATATCGAAATGATGGCACGGGCGCAGGCTTCAAAAACGCCGCAGTGCGACTAACTCTGCGGGCTTCACAGAAGCAACACTCTTTACTAATAACATTAGAATAAATCAGTGGCACAAAACTTCAAGTCGTTGTTATTCATTAATTATCGCTATCAAACAATTGCAATTATTGTATATCTAATAAACAAATGATACATAAAATTTAATATTACATGGCGCGATGAATAACACTCGTCTCGATATATCTCAAAAAAAAAAAAAAAAATTATTTACACAAACAAGAAATATTAATTAAGGAACGATATTATAAATGTTTGATATAACGTTCCAAAAAAAAATGTAATTATTATTAATTACATTTTTATCACAATTTACTTCTTCAATCTTTTTTCAGATGCTGTATAGATAATCATATATTTTATTTCTAACTTGATTTATAATACTAATCCCTTTAATTTTTTTAAAAATTACTTGAATGTAATGCCAACGAACGTGATAAATCGCCATACAGGCGTAAGCCGGCGCATAATAATGTTCTCATAATTTCGAACATGAATGGACAGAAGCGCGCACGTACAGACGCAGATGCAAGAGGCGCGCGGATATGTTGCACGTGTATCGAGGAACATTAATTAACGTCAGGATCAGAGCATCAGATTTGACGCTGCCATGTGGGGTACAGGGGGTGCTCGTTTATCCTTGCGTTATCCGTCTCCTCGGTATAACCTGTGTACGTACAGTCGAGAGATTTAGAGTTTGAACGGGAGTGTTTGAAAGAGAACGAGCTCTCGATCATGAAACATATGTGATCACAGAATTAAAATATCACAAGCGAAATAGAATTCCGCGCGTGTTAGAAACATTTTTAGAATTCTAGAAATTGAAATATTGGAACATATCAGTCTGTGTCTTTTTTTTTTTTTTTTTTTTCGATTAATTAATAAAAACAAAAAATATTCGTCAATAAATTAATCTGTATAGAAAACAATGAAGTAAAAAAAAAAAATTATTTAAGCGAGTAAGTAAGTTACACAATATACGTGCCCTAAATATTGTAGACGAGACACGTTACACGTTATTGATATATTGCGACTTCATATTGCTACTTATTTTCTTGACTCGTAAATATATAATATGTTTTTCCTAAAAGCGACTCATCTGGAGGAAACAAAGGCATTCACAATGCCATGTCGAGTGTACACTATTGTCCGGTGCATAACAAATCATTTCACTGAAAGGCACCAATTATTAATGAGGCCTCGCTCAATGGTATAACACGACATGCGTATCCTACAGGTAATGATAATACTTGTATGAGCCATATTTCTATATACCGCGGCGATGGCGGTACTTGTACCACTAATGTCCAGCTTGCCCCGCGATCGAGCTTATTGTTGTGCCAAGAGTACAATGCATCAATAGTATACGCAAAGATCATCGCTGCTTATTGTAAATTGAATTATATTAAATAGGGGAGGGGGGGGGGAGAGAGAAATGTGTGAAAGAACTGCAATGTAATATAAAAAAAATATTACATATATGATACATTACAATTAATAATTATAATAATAAAATTATAAAATAGGATAGCAACTTAATATTAATAAGTTAAAATTTTTATTCATAAAAATCTTACGAATGTCAAATAATCAAACTTGTAATATCAAAGAAAAGTTATAGGTTCCTCTATCTCGCCTTTGATGGAATATTGTTTTTTTTTGCTTTGCAGTATAATATAAAGAAAAGGGAGGAGATACAAGAGATGCCACAAGAAGAGCCTAATCCTCTGATGCGAAAGAAGAAAACACCAGAGGAACTGGCAGCCGAGGCTGAAGCCGAAGACGAAGATGAGTTCACCAGTATGTAGCGTGCACAATTTTATTTCGATCTATTTAATGTGACGTTTAGCCAAAAAATTTGATAAAAATATGTTTGAATTTTGCAAAATTAACATTGTAACTATTTTCCATGTCACTTTACGAGAGGATGTTGAACCGTGTTCGAATTAATATGTAATAGTACTTTAAAGAACAAACTAACTCTTTAGGGAAATTACTCTAAAATCATGGCAATACTAAAGGGATTCAGAAACAGCGAATATATCTAGATTGATATATGTATCATTAATTAATTGCTTTTTATCATATATGACAAATTTAAATATAATTTTTTAAACAATCATCTTTATTAAATGTATATGTTTGTCTACTCGAAAAAATTCTTTTTTTTTTTCTCTCCTTATATTTTGTCATCCAGATATTTTTTAATCTTTTATTTAGGATTTTATTAAATATGTTTCCATATGTTCTGATTGTTTCAGAATTGAGAAATACGATAGAAACACAGGTGAACGAAATCAAGTCGCAAATCGAAAGTAAATGCAGCCTCCAATGAGCCTATTGCATCGAGCGGTTCGCGAGAAAGATGACGGCGACATCGTACGTCGTCGTTGGAATCGCGTCCGCCCTGCTGCCCAAAGGAGCAAAGGAGGAAGGGGTAGCGGAAGAGATAACGAAGCAACGAGAAAGAGGAAAACTGATACGAAAAGCCACCAACATTGGAACGCCATTGTCGTGTCGATCAATCGTAGATCGATTCCAACAGCCGATTGGTCGATCGTTGCTTAAAGCAAAGTGAAACGACAAAAATAAGCCAGAAGATCCCAAGGATTTTCAAAGAATTCCTAAAGGATTTTTCATTGCCGTCACATTTGGATGCAACTTTGGAATGCAACTTTGAGTGCAACTTTGAAAATCGAAAGTTTTCCTGTCGAGAATTTTTGTTCTGCATAAAATTTAAAATTAGATATAAAGTCGAGAAAGAAGAATTATCTTCTACAAAAAAAAAAATGTTAAATGGATTAAAAAGAATGATACGATAGAATGATACGAAATATCGAAAATTGTACATATGTACAAACTAAAGAAAGATGAAATTTGATAACTATAATTGATCTTGAAAATTGGAATTAAAAGAATGATTTAATTATAAAAAAGAATATCAAGAAATCTTAAAATCTAACTGAATGTATATTGGTGATTAGAATTTAAAAATCATTCACAACGCAACACTAGATCTTAAACAGAAGCATTAATAATAAATAAAAGAAGAGAATATTGTGACATTTAAACAATAAATAGAACGAAATCAAAATGCAAAATAAATCGATAGAAACAAAAAATGATGGAAATGAGATGGAAAATGCTTGTTGAAGTAGTGCCAAGAACAATTTTCTCAATTCCTACAACAAGCAGATATAAACTTTGTTTAGAATAAATAATGGAAAAAATTCTCGACAGACATGATATTTCTTAGCGCAAAACGAAGAGATCCAGACATTGACGACATTGAAGAAATATAAAGTTGAAGATCGCTAAGTCAACAGGATCATCTTAATCATCTTGAAAAAAAGTATGAAACTAAAAAATAGACATAAATCAGTATGTTCTTTGACAGAACGAGCAGAAGAAGATCGCGTAATTAAATATTGCGGAGGAAAAAATTAATATAAATTCGAAAACTTAAATGTCATTTGATTTGGAAATAACGATATGACAAGACGAAAAAATACTTGTAAAAAAATAAGAATGATTGAAATATTGTCGATCGTCGATGGTGTTCGTGATGAAAAAATTCAGGAGACAAAAACGATGTAAATGACGATGCAGAGAAAGAAGGAAAGAGAGAGAATGCTGACTCGACCAGAGTGTGATTTTTTTATGTAATTGTTGCAATTAAAACCAAGTGTGAAGTGATGTTGTTTTATATAGGATAATTAGGTGTTCTGTAGAATGTGTTTAGACGTAGTATAGTTTATAACAAATCAATTATCTGGTATGACGAATGAAGTGTCCAATTGTGGATACTCAATTATTTTCTATTTATATAGTTTGTCTAGGTATTCTATAGTTATATGGAGAATTTTTGGCGCAATTTGGTGATTTAAAAATTAACTATTTATTATTACGGAAACTAATACTGATTAATTATTTCTTTTTATTAATATTCACGATTAGTTCATCTAGATATTTTATGGAATATCTAGTTATTCTGCCCTTTTGAAAATAGCGCACTACAAACGTTTCAGACATGTTAATTGATTCTCGGATAGGGGTAAAATAGGTATCCTACAATATTTCTGTGAACAAACAATTTTTGGAATGTTTGCAGAAGTATTTTGAAATATCGTCAAAGCTTTTTATGTTTCGTATTCGACAATTATTTGGTACAAATATATTCAATAAACATGTGATAATCGTAATGTTATTTTTAATCTGATCTACGGTTGCTGTACAATTATAACTCTTGTACAGCTGACTAGGAAATTATGCATGATTTATACTATGGCTAATTTTTCTTTTTTTCGGAAATAACAAATATGTAGTAGGAGGCTTCTTGCTTCGTACAATTATTTATATTGCCGCGAAGTCAGTATGCAAATCAGTCAAATGTATTTATCAATTGTCAAATGGGAAATTTTGGAAGCAATTGGATACTTAAATATAAATTTTGAAACTTCCCTATTAGATGATCAATTAACAGCTCCAATGAATGCGTCATACAAAAATTGTACTGTGCTTTATTTTGCTGCACTTAACAGACTGACTATTTCTGGTTTTTAATTATTGTCTCTTTTTATCGTATGTAATATATAAACCCCCTATATATAATTTTTTTTGTTTTATATAGTAATTGTTGCTACTTTTAACTATAAAACCATGGGTTGCTAGCTATATAAATTTGTTTAATTATGATGAGAAAAGGTAAATTGTAACATTGTGTAACAAAACTTTTGATAATTTAATTAAAAATTTACCTCAGATATAATATAAAACTAATTATAAAAAAACATAAAATAAATATCTTTAAAATATCTATAAAATAAAATATAAAAGTTAATGATTTCAAAAGCAAAATTATTGGTCAAAATAAAGAAGTAACAATCCTAAAAGATTACATTATTTAATCTTGTCATTGACTAATCTTCTAATTAAATTATATCAGTCAATGTATAATGATGATGAACTATAGCAATCATATTGATTTTCACTATTTGTGCATTTGTGGCCAATTTATGGCCAATTTCTGGTTTACATAAATTACTATTTATACACATATAATTATTAATCACTATTATTATACATATATTATTATATTTGCAATGTTGCATATTATCTTTTCATGATTTACACGAGTGAAATGCAACGCATTGAATGGATAAGATACAACAACAGACATATCAAAGCCATATATTCACAGATCTAGCGCATTTAAGTTTACAACTTATTCATAATAAGTTATCAAACTTTTAAATTCATTAATATGATTTATGTAGAATATGTAGAACGACGAGAAAGTCTTATGAATAATAGAACAAGGATGATAATAAAATTTGCTAACACAAAATTTCTGTATTGTTTTAAATGATACGACGTTTGAAATTTATGCTAGCAGTCGATGTTTTATAGTTGAATGCTAGTCTCTTTTATAGAAATAAAAATTCAATTATACACAATCGCCGCGCTATCTGGTCGCGCAGCATACGACTCTCGAGATAGACACATACTTGCAAATATCACGTGCTCGAAAGCGCAAGGTGCAGGGCAAGATATTTAGCTTCTCTCGTTCGTTACACAAACAATGACGATAAATCTTGAGAAAAGATGAAAGAAGTAAAAAAGAAACGTATGTTAGCGCGTTAAGTTTTTAGGAAGGGTTTTTCGAATAGTCAAAAAATAATAATAACAGTAGTTGAGTTATGTAGTTGATAGAAATTCGACGACTGCTTTAATACACTAAGGAGAGAAGAGAGAGAAGACGGTGATAAAGAAGATATCTTACTATCTTATTGTTATCATCATTATTAGCAAAGCTGATTATGATTATTAAAAATTCGTATTTAAAGATAAACACATCGAGCATTACGGCAAAATCACCACGAAACGTGAATAATTATAATTGCTAATCTTCGCTCTGCCATTCGTCCAAAAATTAAATGAGATTGCTAATTTAAAAAGATAAATGATAATACTAGAAAATGATATAAACATTTTTTAAAATTTTAAAACAGAAGAAGAAAAGATTAATATAAATTAATTATGAATTAGCTTTTTGTATTATTTTTTTTAGATTGTTAAAATTATTGATTAATTCTTTACATCTTTAAATATTTTATTATATCTGGTTTAATATTGTTATAAAAATAATTGTTATCTAAATGGATATGGGTCGACTTATATTATTTATATTTTTTGTAAATATTCGAAATATCGGTACATAAAATTTGTATGATACAAAAAAAGTGAAAACTGAGAGACAGAAAGTGAGAGGGAAAAAAGACGTTTAGTGTATTAGAATCATTTTTGTACGGGAGACAAAGAAGCAAAATGTACTTTTTTATTTGGGTGTGTTAAAACATACGTACATCCTGATATTTCCTTAATCCTCGAATGGCAGGGTTAATAATAAAATGAGTTAGCAATGCACTTATTTCGTAAAAAAAATAAATAAATTAATAATGAAACGATAAACTGATTTTAATATTCTGACAAGATGAGGTCAAAATGATCTTATGATAAAAAATTATTGGCTTATTTTTTTAATTAATTTCATAAAAATTTCATAATTTTCTAAATCACTTGATAATTGATTCTCATGACAAATTTTTATCTTCTTAATATAATTTGAAATTAGATAATAATATTTTTTATTTACTTATTTCATATATTTTACATACATATATTTAACATATTTTATTTAACAATTTGAATTTTATAGGGTTTGAAAGACTGAAGTTTGACAACAAAGCTAGTGATAGAACACATAGAAATGACTGCAGGTCAATTGGACGTCACTCTATCGATTTATAGTTACAGTTATTCTAGAATAATTATCATTTTAGATCTGTCTATTTTTAATCTTTCTCTTAAATCATCTTGAATCATCTTTTGTTTTATTGTTTTACTAGTGTTAATATTTCTGCTTCTAAACTTAATTACTTCTATCGCCTTCTATCGTCAAAAATATTCAAAACTTCTAGAATGTAGATTTAGATTATGGTGCTTTTTAATATTTTTTATTTTTCTTTTAGTATAAATTCTTCTCTCTTTTTCTCTTTATTTATTATATTTTATACTTTCTTAATCTGTTTTCCTGTATTTTTTATTTTATATTTATTTTACAATTTATTGATTTAATTTATTTTTTTGTTATTGTTCCTGTATACCTTTAATATTGATTTTAATGTTCAGTCGATAAATTTTTGCAATGGTTTTTTCACAATGGCAAAAGATAATATTAATGATTGTGCTTAATTTGCAAATAACTCGCAAATGGTTATGTGTAACTTCGTTAAAATACGCGCAAGGACGCTTAACAGTCGCATAAAGCAAAATTTGGATTCAGTAAAATCTATACTAAAATTTCTTTTAAAATGATTTCAAAATAAACTTTATATATTCGTGAAATTTTTACTTTATATATATATATATATTATTTTTTTTTTTCTAAATTATTAAAATAAATTCAAATGTAAAAATAAAGGAAAATAAACATAATAAATGAAATTATATTTATAAATAATATTATTACATATATATTTCATTTTACAAAAAATTATACGTGCACTACTAAATTCGTACATATTTGAGTCCAAAAAGATTCAAACGCAGTTGTCTAACGGTTAATTATCGTCGAGCAAATAGCAGCAATATTCAGCGAAAGCAAACAAACGAGAGGGCATTTCGCTGGTCGCATTTATTTCACGTTCTTATCATAAAAAATCTCAAACTTTCTCCCGCAATTCGCGGAAAGAGCAGGACCGCCTTTGAAGTTCGCACAGTTCGATGACGGCCAAAAGTTTTGCAAAAATCGCTGACAACGTACTACTACCTTCCTTTTTCTTCTTCTTAGTTTTGTTCTTTTGAGCTCGATTCTCTCTGTCTTCTCTGTCTCTTTCTTTCTTCCTCTTTCTTCCCTCTCCCCCCCCTCTCTCTTTCTCTCTCTCGATTTTCAGAGTAGAAAACTCCACCATCTGATGCGACTCCGCAGCTGTTTGCTCGCGAAAAATAACCAAAACTTTTCCTTCAGCATTTGACTTACCCTCATTCTCCTTTCGATCTTCTGCTTGGGAGATGGATAAGGATTTTCAGAGGTTTAAAACTCTATCTGGAAATTTAATTTATGATATTCAAGGTCGCGTTTTAATTGAGAAAAATTAAATTGTAAATTAAATACAAATATAAATTATTATAATGATTGCTTTTAGAAAAAGAGAATTTGTAACACTTGAAAGTGCCGAGAAATTATATTTGATGATATAGTTAGATGGTAAATTGAAATCGACTTGAAATTATATCATATTCTGGAATTACAGATTATTCATCATGTTTTTTTTTTTAATTTTATCATATTTCCCTAAATATCTGTGTATACGTGAAATTTTTTATTTTAATTATTTGATGTAATTTGCGTAATTTATTATATAATAGTTAATGTTTATTAATTTATTATATATTTATTATTTTTATTTATTACTTTATTATTTTATCGTTATTTAATACATTTATTTATAAAATGCTAAGTAATTTCCTAAGAAAAAATTTATTTAAACATATAAGAAAATCAGCTGCGTATATGGGATTTTAGAATCAAGTTTTTTATATTTTGTCCTAATCATAAATTAAATCTTTACTCAATGTTTGTTAAATAATATCCTACATGTATCGCAGAATGTTTAAGAAAGTAATGATTTAGATTAATATACAGAAAGAACATATTAAACTAAATAAGTAAAGTGTCTCACAGTAATATAAATTTTCAAATTTACTGCTTTCGAGATATAATATGTGCAATGTGTTATTCGTTAGCCACTTTAACCAAGCGGCAACCTAACATTTTTTTATGTATTGTATCTTGGAAGCGTACTCGCATTCATTGAGACATTTTCCTTGGTTCATGTTCTATGTATCGGT